CCCCCCCCCGACCCCCCGCCTCTCTGGTGCCACATTGCCGGGCCCGGTGGGAAGCGTCCATCGCCGGTGCGTGCCGTACCTGTGGAAGACGGCGGAGCAGTCGGTGCAGACCGAAGTGTGGCTGTCGAAGGGGAAGAGCACGTCGCCCTCCTTGCAGAGCTCACAGACGAAGCCTTTCGCCTGGCACCGCTGGGGCAGGAGCAGGCAAAAGGTCCCAATGGTGTCTGGCAGGGACCCTGCCAGCCCCCCCCCCGCCACGGTGCTGGCCCCACAGGAGCTGCGCCGTGGGTCAGGGCTCACCTCGCAGTCCAGCTTGATGTGCTTGGCGAAAAGGGTGTGGATCTCCGTCAGGGAGCAGCTCAGGCGCCCGGCTTCGATATCGATCAGGTCCTGCAGCGAGTACATCTCGTCGTTCTCCACAAAGTGCTGCCGGTCCTGCAGCTACAGGCGGACAGCCCGTCACCGCCGCCCCCCGGTCCCAGCACCCCTGGGGTCTCCCCCCCAGTCCCGGTTCGGCCACTGATGCAGGGCCTGACCTGCAGCAGCAGCCGCGCCTCCATCGCCTCCTTGCAGGTGATGAAGTAGGGCTTCATCAGCAGGATGTCCTGGCGCAGCTTCTGCGGGGGGCACGGGACGGGAATGGGGACAGGACCGAGACAGGGAAAAGGGTGGTGACAGGGACAGGACAGGGATGAGATAGGGACAGCGTGGGAATGGGATGGGATGAGGATGAGGACATGATGGGGACAAGGTCAGGCTGGGTCAAGCTCAGCCCCGTAGCACCCTCTGCCCTGATCCCAACCTCTGCGGGTGCTGCAGGACCCCCATCTCCCTCCCCAGTCACCCCATGCTCCCTCCACCATGCTGCCCATCCTGCTCACCCTGCCGGCCATGCTCACCCGGATCTCCACCAGCTCCTCCACGTAGTTGAAGAGCAGCGGGTTGATCTCCCGCAGCTTCAGCACGGGCCGCGACACCATCAGCGCCAGGTACCGCATGCTGCAGCGTGACACCTGCCCGCCGGCGCCGCCGTCACCCCACGGGCACCGGGCCATCCCCACCGCCACGGCCTCAGGGACCCTCCATACTGCTGCCCTGGGATCCCATCCCCAGGTATGCAGCCCTGGGGACGCGGCCCTTCCCAAGTGACCACTACCCAGGGACACAGCCCCCCAAGTGACCTCCAGCCAGTTTCATGGCCCCCAGGGTCCCCCAGGACCAGGGACATGGCACCCTAAGTGACCTCCAACCAGGGACACGGGCCCCTAAGTGATCTCCAACCAGGGTCATGGCCCCCAGGGACCCCCAGGACCAGGGACATGGCACCCTAAGTGACCTCCAACCAGGGACACAGCCCCTAGGGACTCCCAGGACCAGGGACACAGCCCCCCACCCAGGACCCTGGGCACCCCCAAGCCCCCACCCCGTGCCAGGGGCACCTTGCGGGGCTCAAAGTCCCAGTTGTGGATGGCGCGGGCGGGCACGACGGCCAGGTCGTTCCAGTGGCAGCTGCTGCAGTAGTAGAGGCCGGTGTAGTCGCACTGCCGGGCCTCGCTGGGCACCCCCCCTGCGGCGGCACACGCGCCGGCACAGGCGTTGGCACACGTACCGGCACCGCGCCACACCCTGCTTGCCCCACGCCACGCACCCCACCACGGAACGCGCGGCAGCACCCAGGGACACAGCGGGGCCCCAGCGTCACCTTCCCATGCGCTGTGCCCCCCCCCGCCCAGTCCCACACAGCCCTGAACCTCCCCCAGTACCCCAGAGCTCCCAGCCCCACACAGCCCCCAGAGCACCAACCCGCAGCTCTCCCCAGCACCACGCAGCCCCCAAAAAAGCCGAGCCCCACACATCCCCCACCCCACAGCCCCCCAGCGCTGGTCCCCAGCCCCACACACATCCCCCCCAGCCCCACGCCGCAGCGGCGCAGCCTTACGGAGGGAGACGGGGGCACGGCACTCGGCGCAGCGGTAGTCCTGGCTGTCCAGCCCGCTCTCGGGGCAGATGCTGAGCTGGTACTCAGCCTGGTGGCTGACCTTGGCCCGCACGCAAGCCTTGCTCACCAGCGGCAGGCACTTGCTGTGGCACCGGTAGTAGCAGCCTGGGATGGGGACGGGCGGCCGTCAGTGCGGGGACATGGTGGGAGGGGGGACAGGGAGGGGGACACGGGGTCCCAGCCCCACCTGTGCAGGTGTACCAGGTCTGGATGAGGCCCCAGATGATGGTGCTGCACTTGTCGCACATCTGCTTCACGCTCTTGCTCTTCTCCTTGTAGAAGCGATGCTCCAGGACCACCCGGATGTTGGGCTCATCCTCGTCGGGGTCCTGTGCGAGGCGGGGGCGGGATGTCAGCGCGCCTCCCCCCCCGCGCCCATAGAGACCCCCACACCCCCGGTCCCGGCCCCACCTTCAGCTCCTGCAGCTTGAGGCGGAGGTGGATGAGCCGCACCACGGCGTCCTTCTGCCGCTCCGAGTGCTCGGGCAGCGCCAGGATCGCCCGCTTGCACTCCTCGATGGCCTGACGCAGCTGCTGCACGTCCGACGCCAGGATCAGGCCCTGCGGCAGTGGGAGGAAGAAGAGGAGGGTGGGCTGGTGGCCCACTACTCCCCCCCACAAAACCCCAACTCCAGCCCCGTTTTCTGCTCCCCCCCCCTCCAACCCCACTCACCACGGGGCGGGAGAAGTGGTCCTCAGCCAGGCCCAGGTCCAGGGTGCCCTCGGGGTCTCCCGGGGACGGATCTGGCCGCCGGGCTGCAATGGGGGGAGTGCCATGGAGTGGGGGGGGGCTAGGACCCCTCACCGAACCCCAGCCGTG